TAGTAATGTAGAGCGGGTCATGCTGAGGTCCCAGGCAGCAGCCCAGGGTTATGGGAAAGGGATGGGCCACTGAATCAGAGCTAAGGAGAAATAGAAGAGAGGGATTATGGGAGGGACAGAGGAAGGACTGAGAGGTTTCTCAAAGACGCCAAATGCAAATGGAAGGGGTGAAAGGGTAGGTGCAAGAGTCTGTATTTCCATAACTTCATTATTTCTCTGATGTCAACTGTTCTCAGGACTCTACTGTGCCACCATTCCATCAAGTCTGTCTTCATGTCAACACTTAACAAAAGAATATGCATACGTAACAGACTGACTTCTGCTGGTGTTTTGCTCCCACAACAAAAACCCTTAGCTACACATATAGAGCACACACAGGCTCACAGCAGGGACTGTCCTTCCTCTGCATATTGTAATTAATTTACTGTCCCCGCTGCAAGAATTTCATTATCCAATCCCTTGCAGTTACTGAACTGAGCTCCTCTGACCCAAGAGACCGACACAGAGAAGGCAGGGAAGAAGAAAAAACTATGGCTTGATGGAAGTGGAGGAAAGAGAGAAAGTGAGCGAGAGTGTGAGGGGTGAGGGCTTTGCCCGGTGTAGCGCTCTCCCCTCTTCTCCCTGCAATAGCAGAATGGATTCCAGATGTCAAAATGATAAACAAATGGATTGTCATAACCTTATAAAAATGCAAGGCATTCAGAAGCTCTCACACTGCTGTATTATCTGTGGTCCGTCCCCTTGAGTCAATCCAAAACTTCAGAATCATCCCCTAAGTATAGTGATGAGTTATTAGCTCTCCATTCTTACTGAAGAGCATACACACACAAAAATCCACATGCACGACACACCCACATGTGCATACACCCACTCTTGTTAAGATCTCATCCCTTTCTTGTCCTCCCTGCAGAATATACAGTGTACGCAGTTTGTAAATCAGCTCAATGCAAAGTGAATCCCTAAAGTCCATCTAAATCATCTCTTAACACATGCACCATAGAGTTAGGCCAAGTTCAAACAGGAAGACTTACGTACACCCTTCTCCATTTCTTTTACTTCTTTCTACTATACCATCAGCTTAGGATGTATTTGCCTTCCTAGTTCACAGCATTTAATCAAATGAGTCTAAGGCTACAGCAAGACAACGTACCAGCAGTGCCGCACAGAATCACCTGCTTGTTCATCCAAATTATGTTTAGAGTTTGCTATCATGGTTGTTGCAGCTAACTTTCATTGTTGAACCGGCTGGTTGCATGAGCTGATGTCCAATTTCATCAACAAAGTCACATGCTGCAATCTTTATTTAGATTAAAAACACAACTGACAGCTGTGACTGGTTAACTTGCCGTTATTGTTCACCCTTTCCAGGTCACTATTTACTCATTTAAACTGGCTTTCTTTTGTCTCCTAATGTGCTGTTTCTCTTAAAAAAATTAAATAATAATGTAGAGGTGGCTACAGCTAGCTAGCTGCGACCAGTTTGGCTTTACCCTACAGTTACTCCTGCTCTTACTGACCAACACAGGGACCAATCACTTATCACCAATCCTCTTTTCAATCGTCTTATTCACTGTGTTCCCCACCACTTGAATGAAGAATATCTTATATCTGTAAACTGTCCTGAATTGAAATATTATTCCCCCTTGATTTTCCAACCATACCCAATTATTTTGGGTCTGATTATGTCTGGGAGAAACTTAACAATAAGTTGTTGTATAATAAAATCCTTATCAAGCCTCATGTGTTTGCCATCAAGGGGCTAATCAAGGCCTTTTTGATGCCATAACAGTGGCTTCAGCCTGCAGCATTATTTCATAATCTATTTTATAACCTGCACACACTATCTACTACATTAAGTATGTCAAAAAGGCAAGCGAAAACAGTGATGGTAATCAGCATAATTATAGTTGAAAGAGATAGCAATAAATTATTGAGGTTTGTGATGAAACTGCTACAATAAATAAACAGTAACTGGCTTACCTAAATAAAGAATAGTAATTTTGGTTGATCTTATCTTTCCGGAAAAGATGCTGCAAAGTATTCACACATGTGATGCTGTAAATGTTCAGAGATGTTTGAACACATGCCAACATGCACTTTTGGTTGTAAGTACAACTGCTTGCCCCCCGCTCGCGCCTCTGTCATCAGATGCTGAATAAAGAGAGGAAGGGAATTTCAATCCTCAATTCCTTTGATGTGCTTTGAAGTATTACAACATACAAGTGTGTGTGTGCGTGGGTGTGTGTGGGTTTGTGTGTGTGTGTATGTGGAAGTGTGTCTCCTTGCCCCGAGCACAGTATGATTGTGTCTGAATGAATGAATAACCCCTCCAGCTGTTGACTAGCATATGGATCCCGTGTGGATTGATATGTGAGTGTGCATGAGTTTATGAGTCTATGTCCTCCTCTTTATGGGGAAAACCCACCAAGTCTCCAGGGGCTTTGTGTGCCTAACACACAGGAAGTCAGACTATGACAGCGACTAACACCGTAGCATTTTAGCATGTCCACTTTTAACCATAATTTAAGTCTTCTTCACTGCACACTTTTTCTCATCTCGTCTCATATTTTCTCATCTTTGCTTCTCCCTATCTACCCATCTCTCATCTCCTCTGCTGCTCTCATGTAGCTTTCCCAGGCATGGTGTGGGCAGTGGCAGTAGTAGTGGCAGTGATGTCCAAGTCTTTCCCATGCAGCCTCATAGGAGGGTCTTTGTTTCCCCTGCAGGCTTTGGGGGTCCCCACGGCAGGGCTCTGCCCCACTCCACTGACTCCACAATGGGTCTTTATGCTGCCAGGGCCCCCTCCCCCACATCACTCCATCATGCTTCCCTCATCAGGGGCACAGGGAGGCACAGGGGGCACCACAGCACCAAAACGCCAACCCTGTTCATGCCCTGCCCCGTCCCTCTCTCTATAATACATGCCAACAGAGTCAGATACAGTAAGAGAGGTTTGCTGAATAGCCACAGGCCAATTGGAGCAGTTTATGAGTGGTGCCAAATGTTTCAGAAGGGTACTGTTTTCTCATTCAACCCAAGAACACTTGAAACCACAAGCAAAGACCTGGCTCTCACCAGGGAGTATGTGATAACACACCGTTACAACCCATTAGCACTGTTGTTGAAAAACCAATGCCCTTGGTTGTAAAGGTGACACACACTCACTTACACACACACACACAGAGTGAGGGAATAAAGAACTGGCTTTGAATACAGACAAAGAACTTGACACTTGAGATCACAGATTTCTTGTTTTAGGTGCTGAATTGTTGCCTTGCCCTGTGTTTACTCACTCATATGCTCCTGATCATGGACCTAGCACACACGCACACACACACACACATTGGCTGCCTACTGTACTTTGTGTGCTGACAAACTGTCACAGGCCATGATGAATGGGTGGTCTGCTCAATATGTCTCAGTCATTGGCAGATCCTCTGCAGCTGAGAAGGGTAGGAGAGTACAGGGCCAGAAGAGAAGAGAAGAGAAGAGATCCAAGCTAAAACAATGATGAGATTTTGAAAGCTAACTATTTATAAGTTTAAGGCCAAACTAAAGGCTAACTTATTCATGGAACCCTTAGACAAAATACTTATGCCAACCACTGAAGATAATAAAAAAGGAGTCTGAGACATCTTTTCATGTGCCTAATGTCTTCCCATGTATTCATGTAAAGCAAAATGTATGGCTTAATCCAGCACAACGGACAAGGGCCAAAGGATCCGACAAACACTAAGGGTGGATCATGGGGAAAGGCATCCCCGGACCTCTGTTTTCCTCAGTCAAGGCCAATATTGACAGTGCCAAGAGCTGAGGTTGTCATGGTAATGGGAGCCAGTTTAGGGCCACCGCAGAAGGAGAGCATAACCTTGTCATAATTGTGGACTGAGTTTCGAGAGCATTTAAGAAACAGATCCAGCAGGGGGAATCAGTTACAGACCCGCACTGGCTCAATAATCTGCATCAACTCTCTGTTCTTCTCATGCTAACTGAGAAAGCACATAACCACACACGCACACACACGCACACACACACTCATATAGGATGTAAGTACTTCAGTCTCTGAGAGATGCACCCAAAACCATAAGCAGGAAAAGGGCTCCGGGGCCACACCTATAAATCAGCACAAAATAAAAACTTCATAAATAAGAACAAAACAGAATGTAGTACAAAAAAAGAGAAAGGCACAGATAACAACTCATTAACTGACTCTCATACAAAGGAGAGGAGAGCCTAGCAACTATTTGTTCTGCCTGCAATCATTCAATGTGGAGATGGATTTAATGACTTCCTTATTCCACATTGATTAACAACAGCCAGCCACACTGACTCACAAACTGACATTATCCAACACAAGCACACAAACAAATGCACAGAGGGTTTGTTACAACTGAATGTATTCAGAACAGTTCCCTCTTAAAGCAAAGTATTAGTTATTTCTCTATTATCGGCTGAAACTGGGTGACCTGTTTTGAAAAGAATGCATACAAGCCAGCATCTAGTGCCGTGTCATTTGGAGAAATGAAATGTCTTATCTCCAAATTCCAATGCTGCCAAAATAAAAAAAAAGTGTTTATGCAACAACTGGCAATAGCAAAGTAGTGTAACAAGATACAAAATGTTGCCTAATCATGAGGAACAAATCTAAATACCAAGATTAATTAAAGTCCGCTGCTTTTATTAAATCTGAAAATAACAATGGATTTGGGCCATGTAAGCCAATAAGGGGTCAGCTGAAGGGAATGATCATTTAATATTTCTAGTTTAAAAATCTAAAACAACTTTCTAGTTGTGTTCACAGCAGTGTCCATAAAAAAAAATGATTTACAGGGAAATCTGGTTTGTTTCTGTGTTTGATCAGAGAGAAACATCAGTAATGAGATGGGTCAGGACGGAATTATTGTGTCATCTCTATTTGTAAAGTCTTTATGTTCAAGCCCTTTTAAGGTTTACTGTGAATGTGTGTGTGTGTGTG